CAAAAGCGTTCAATTTGTAATATTCAAATAAGTATAGATAATCAAAATATTGTTAAAGTAAAGGAGACAAATTTTCTAGGCGTAATTTTGGATGAAAACCTAAATTGGAAGTCGGAAATATCTCACGTTGCAAGTAAAGTTGCGAAGTCAATCGGTATAATATCTAGATGCAGCTTCTTTCTTTTTAAATCGTCTTTACGTATGCTCTACTATTCCTTAATTTATCCTTATTTTTACTACTGCAATATCGTTTGGGCTTCGACCTATAAAACTAATCTCCGCCGCCTTGTTATCCTACAAAAGCGCATTATTAGAATTATTAATAAATCACATTTTAATGCTCATACTGACCCCATCTTTAAGGACCTCGGTATACTAAAATTTAATGATATCCATTTGCTTCAACTGGGCCAATTTATGTATTCTTGCAAAAATTCATTCTTACCTCCAAAGTTTAATAACAATTTCTCTCAAAGCAATCAATTCCACTCTTACAATACAAGAAATTCCCAGGCCTACCGTCTACCGTATTGTCGTACAAACACGAAGAAGTTCTCGCCCTTTTTTCAAGGGCCTAAGTTTTTTAATTCACTTGACAACAAGATCATCAACTCTCAATCCCTCTCCTCTTTTAAGAAAAAACTGAAGATTAAATTATTGAGTAAGTATGAAAACAGTTTATAAATCTTTCCATCTTCGACTTTTCGCCTTCTTCTCTTCAATTGATGTGAAACAGCTCTAGCTCATAGTTCGAGGAGGCCTAACCTCTCATAAGCTCCTATAGTTTCTGTTAGGTCTCCTCGCCACTTCCTTTTTTTTTTCTTCTTCTTCTTTTCCTATATTTTTTGTAATTAGTGTGGCAAATAAAATAAAATAAATAAATAAAAAATAAATATTGCCTGATGAGGCTGTATCTGCCATTTGGTCTTTCTGAGGATGATAAGTTATAGTTAGTTCACTTTTATAAACAATAGTACACAACTGTTTGATAGCCAAACAATGTTGAGTTCACCTCAGAATAAATTTTAAATTATCAGAACATTTTGTGTGGACTACCCTTTAGTTTCCTTTAATTTATTGACTACTGACTCTTTAAGAGAGTTTAAGAATGGCTTGGGATGATAAATCAGGAAGAACCCTCTCCCACCAGATCCTTCAGTGGTGTGCTTGATGGGGATGAAAACATCTTAGAAAATTAAAAGAGGTGCCTCCATTTAAAAGTACAACAACAACAACAAAAATATTTTATTCAAAACAGCTAATAGTTACAGAAATATATAACTACCCGCAAACAGCTATAGCAAATTGGAGCGGGTAGGTAATGACACTAGTCTGTCTATAACATCCACACGCCACACCCAACAAATTATATGGGATGAACGGAACAGAGTTACTAGCCAAGACAGATGCAGCAATTGTTTCCGAAGGTAGCTTGATTCCTTGTCTTTCGTCCTGCCGAGGTTTGAGTTTACAGCTACTATATACTGTGAGCACGTCGAGGTGACGCGAAGGTAGGTGAATTTGGTTTCCCCGAAAACGTGTTTGTTTATGGCTACTCGAATTACATGGTTTCATTCAAATTTATCTTTTATCTGTAAAGAAGGCCCAAATGAGCCAATTCTTGGCATAAACAACGTTGAGTGGTAAAGCTATCTGTTAAATATAAACTTTTGCTTGCCTGTTTTATTCTTCGACCTAAATTCACTCCTCAATATTTCCTTAGTACTTTTGCGTATTTGCCTATTCTCGGCCACCCTACTCGCCCGTAAACTCTAAAAAGCGCTTATAGTTTTGTATGGAGTTTTTGTGTCAAATCAGTTATAAAAATACAGCTGTAATGGGGTGGCATGCTGTACATGATATGAATTAAAACTATGAGTTCTGACTTAACCCCGTTTTAAAATACCCAACTCTTTTTTAGCCTCGCTTGACGGCTCTTAAGAGTAAAACTATAGGTGTGCAAAAAACTTTCTTTTCTAACATGAAACAAAGCTCTTTAAGGATAATTTGTGATCGAAATATCAAAACACAAGCTTTATAAGTGATTTAAGAACAAAAATGACAATAAAGCGTTGAATATTCTGAGGAATCGGGCGCACTCTTTTGTGATCGAGAACTGGGCCGACTGGCGGATAACTGGGTAATTGTATGTACGCTTCTTACGGCCGAAGTAAAGTTGAATAAAATCTCCTAATTACCGCGGCCTCAAGTAAACATTGCATGTTTTGGTTCAGACACTAGTTTTCCTACAACATAACCTAAATGTATGCAAGTTCCCTGCTAGCAGAGGCTCTTTTCCTGGTGTTTTAGCAAACACCAGGAAAAGGGCGTCTGCTAGCAAGGAAGTATGCAAGAAAAAAAAGATAGAAATAAACGACCGTCTACCTTTGTTTAGGGTCTTTGCAAAACATCTTGTGCGTTTGTAGGAATATTCAACGAAGGATATTGGGCGGTCGACTTTAACTTGTGATGAATTAAACACTCTTCTGATTGAAGTAGAGGCAGTCATCAATTCAAGACCTCTAACGTACGTTGAAGACGATCAAGACGGAATCAGTTACACTGTCTCCATCTCACCTGATTAATGGACGCGGAATCGTTGATTCGCCAAATGAAGGACATTTTGAAATCGTCACGGTACCAACGCGTCATTGTCAAAGGGACTTTAAGATCCAACGGCGCGACGGAAACGAGAACGTCGCTTGAAAATAAAAAGTGAATTTGTGTTCTTTCAGTCTTTATCGCAATTATTCCTACCCACTTACTTTGACAAATGTAGGCGAACCCCCTGAAGTTGTTTCCCTGGGGTTCATATCCAAGTTCAGAAAGAGAAATAAAATTTCGTCGTTGCTTGTTTACGTTCTTCATAAAACGCGAAATTAGGCATTTTGACGTTGTAGTCGTGCAAAAGCGGGTCAGGAAATGTACAAACGAACGTCATGCACGTGCAAAGTTGGTGTTTTGCTAATAAAACCTATTGTTTTCTGATGTTCTCGTTGCCGTCCGCGTCGTTGGATCTTAAAGTCATGAAGCATCATGGACATCTCCAACAGTTTACCAATAAATGGAGAAATGCATATTTACTGAGTCTTCGAGAGAGACACGCACAAGCCTCAACACCTCGGAAGGGATCTCTGCAGTAGATATCGTTATTTTATAAAACATTCCCCGCAAAGAATATTTTGGAAGCTTGCTATTGTTGCTGGGCAAGGATGGAAGCGTGAGAGCAGCTCGCGTGAAGGTTGCGAGTGCTGACCGAAATCTTACAACTTCTCAGTTCTATCAGATTATCCAGATTTGATCTAACTTAAAGATATATTTTTCTTGTATCCATAACAATAAAAAGGAGGGGTCGCCGTTTTCGTTTCATCGCCACCACAGGCGGCCCAGACGTAGTGTGTGTCAATATATTAATATTCACATGGACAAATTAATGCGATGAGTCGTCGAAACTCCCATGAACTAAACGAGTCCAAAAGTCAAAATATAACAAAACAAAGCAAAGATACCTTTAACTGAACGTATCCTTGTCTTTCATGGCCGGTTAAAGTGGCATTTTGTTGAGTTTTGCGCCATGAAAGACAAGGATACGTTCAGCTTTTTCGAGTGGGTATGTGCCGCCCTAGCCTGCGTGTAGACGATAACTAAACTCTGACCAGAGTTTAATTTCGTCTGCGCGCAGGCTAGTGCCGCCCGGGACTCCAAATTGGCACCCCGTTCTAAAAAAAAAATTCCCCTAAAATTGATACCCTGTTCTGGAAATGGGCCAATTTTTTATAGTCCGTTCTAGAAAGTTTGTAAATTGAAATAGCCCCGTTTTTTTAAAAAGATATTTCCTTATTTGTTCGACTTGTACATCAAATAAACGCTTCTTCATAATCAACAACAATTTTAAGCAGAAGATAAAGCCGTGATCAACAATTTTTTATACCCCGTTCTAGAAAACGCCTCTGAAATGGATACCCCGTTCTAAATCAGGAGCTTCAAAATCAAGACCCCGTTGGGCGGCACATACCCGTATAGGTAATGTATGGGAGTACCCCCCCGGGGGGGTAAAAGTTATAAAAATCGCTTTTTTGGACTACGAAAGGGGCCGTTAATGCCTCTCTTTAGTCAACCGGAGAATGGCACCGATACCTTTGATGTTGCAATGTTATGCGCAGTGCAAAACAAGGGAATTACCTTAAAGGTTTAATAAATTTTCATCATTCTGTTTCGCTCGAGGATCCTGCTGTTTGGTTTGAAGCCTTCAGAAAGAAGAAACACTGGGAACTAGGAAACGCGTATCCACTTTCAGGGGTACGGCCTCTATCTGGTCGGGTATTCTGCAGTTGAGCCAAGAAATCTTCTCTATCTTTGCTTGCAAACCGTTCCTATGAATCTGGTAGCAGGATACTTTGCTCGGAACGTAGAACGCGAGTGAAATTTATAAACAAAATCGACAGCGAAGTTGCGTGGATGACAAGGGTACTGGGCGAAAATTTTTTACCTTGTTGTCTTACTGTCAACACTTTTTATGTTCTTGTTAACGTTTTAAACAGAGGTGCGCATTACCTAACTTAAGTAGCTCGTTCAGTCACTTGTATTTTTTTTCAAAATGAGAGTTATTCTGCATTCTTCATATCATTATGTTCGACATGCTGCCTTACAAAACGTAGCGCTGGACCATGCGGCGGGGAAAATCGTACCGGTAAAACGGGGTTTACATAACGGATGTAGTAGAAATTTATTATTTCAGTCATTCGGAAGAGAGGTAGCAGAGTTTGATTATTCCCACATCAAAAACTTTATTGACAAACTCACACTTGATTAAATATTTTCACACTTATTTTGAAATACACTTGAGATGCACTGACTGTTAAGATCGTATACATTGTTAAACCAGTTGTTTTCATTTTAAACGCTTTCTCACTTCATTAGACATTTTCACACATTTGTTGTTTTCCTACGAATTACATTTTTTTGGTAAACCGGAAACCTCCACTCCAACATAAAAAAAAGTTTAAAGCACAGTCAATAATGTTTGCAATCAAATTTGGTTAAATAAACCGAAACCTCCACTATATGTAGTTCCTTCACCGTTTAATCAGCATTTCTTTTTTTACTGTCTATTTTCATTTACACATCTAATTAGATACTCTATTAGGATCCGGTGCTTCTGCTTTGTTGACTTTGGTCCTTGCTTAGACAGTTCAATTCGCAAAGTTTAAGCCCCACAGTTTGAGTAACAAGAATAAGATTTCTGCTTGCAAATGTTGGCATTATCACCACAATACTGATTGATCCAACACCAGCCATACTTAGGACAGTTCTTCCAGCAGTATTTATAAAACCAACCAGGATGGTACGAACAACCTTGAAATTCA